TTGCTTTTCTGAAGATCTATGTAGCTTTTGTATCAAAGGTAATCTTATTTACCAATCACACATATATGCCTAGTGCGGTTAAAAAGGTGAATACAAGTATGTATGAATCAGAACAATTTTGATGTAGTTAGATGCGTTTCTTTAATTTATATTTTTTAATTGAAAATCTTCTAATACAATATATACAAATTAATTTACACATTTTCATTCAATAAAAATTGGTTTGGTCATTCTAAATTTTTTTAGAAACTAGTTAATATTTGATAATCATTATACCCGTTCTGTATTTATGATAATTACTATTCAAATATTGTGTAGTACCGTTTGTTACACACTAATCATACTTGTTCGGTGTAGTATGTTTTACTATTCAAATTTTTACTTTTTTATTAATTATGTTTTGTTATTTGTTAATTATTTTTAATATTAACTAATTAATATATGATATGATATAAATATTATTTTGATATAAAATATTTCATCAAATTTTCAAAATCAATCTCTCCATACGGCCACGTCAGCTATCTAATAAAAAAAAAACCCAATAAGACAAAGTCATAAGAAAATCCATTCCATTAATTAAGATTATGTCGATCGTTACAAGCCTCAAATATAACGTTTGTGTTTTCAGTTTTCTTATCTAAACGACGCCTCACCTTCGTACTTTTCTTCTTAAAATTCACAAAGAGTCCTTTACATATGTCAAATTTATTAAAAACCGTTAGATCTATGGCAATCTTTAAATCACAAATAACATATTTAATTATATATATTTAACTCATACTTTAATATAAAATTGAAATCATTTAAATTATGCATTTACTATATTTCTCCACTTAATTCTATTCAACACATAAAAAATTAAAATTGTATTTTCCATAATTTATTTTTTAAATTGTAACTTTCATCACTTTTCATCTTATAAATACTCATTCTCTCATTTTCTCATTCTCTCATCCTCTTCCACTATATCTCAAATTTTAACTTTTCGTTGTTGTTGCATGGGTTAAAAGATATCAATTTAAATATCATTGTAAAAGCTTAATTCTAAATTTTAATTTTAGAGACTATATGATATAAATCTTACAGTATTTTATTTCTTTATTTTTTAAGATTTATATCCATTTTCTATTTTAGATTATCATCTTATAAGTAATCATTCTCTCATATTCTTCCACTATATTCATGTAACCATTTTTTATGTTTTTATATGAGTTTAAAATCAAAGGAAACATCATTGTAAGGATTTGATTCTAAATTTTAGAAAGTATGATATATGTCTAACATTATTTTCAAGATTTAGTTTATTTCTGACGCCATTATACTTATTTCTTCTTTAGTTTTAATACTTTTAAATTAAATTCACATATGTAAAATAAAAGTTTTGATGGCTATAACAAAACTTTCAGGTTTATTGGTGATGGATAGTTAAATGAATTCAATTCCAATCATCCCACAAGAAAAAAAATAAAGTTGAAAAGATCCATCTCCATTTTCTACTTCTGATGTTTGATTATTTTGTATCATATTCATATATATATATATATATATATATTTTAACTATGTAATATTTAATAAAATAAATTATTGTAGTACATTTATCAAATAAATTTCCCTTACCTCTTTCTTATCTCAAATAAATTTTGGTAATCCACTTTTAATATATGTATCATTATATTTAGTTTTTTTTTTGTGATCCAATAGATAATTATATATAGACTGTTATAATATTAGTTTTATTTAAAAATTTGAGGTTAAAGTTTTTTTTCGAAAATAAAAAGAGCTTCACTAAAAAACTTTGGTCCTTAAGATTTTTAAAAAATAAAAAATATGTTTCATAAAAATTAACTTTAGTTAGAATAAAAAATAGAATAAAATCATTAGAATGAAACCTAACAATCATACTTAAATGAAGTGAAATATAAAAAAAATCTATGAATGAACAAAAATCATTTTATTAAATCTTATAAAGATGAACCATTAGTATTAAATTTAGCACTAGAATTTACATTGATAGTGAAATTAAAAAAAAATAGAAGCTATTCTTGGGGGTTTTTTGTTTTTGAATCTTAAGATTGAAATTCATATGATTTTATAAGAAAACAAATTTTAGTTTGTCACTATGTGTGAATTTATATCAACAAACAAATAAATTATATATGAGTTTATATCAATAGTTTATTTTATAAAAGTAATATATAATATAGAAAATATCAAATCTTAAGAGTGTAATAAATTTTTTTGAATCATATTTATATTAAAATAAAATTATTTTATAAAAATATATCCCGCAGGGTTTTACGCAGAAAAACAAAACGTTAAGTTGTTAAAAAAAAAAAAAAAACTGTTATTGGGCTCGGAAAATCTATCAAAGGCCTAATAATGGGCTACATCAAATACACTCAAATACAATCAGCACAATGTTAGAGCTCAGTGACAACACTTCTCTAGTAACCTCCTGAGCGAAAATCCAGCCTCCACTGAAAGGAAGAAACTTCACAGGTATTTTTTTCTAGGTTTTTTTCAGCTTTCAACATTCCAGCTTTTTTTCTAGGGTTCTTTGACTCGTTCCTCTGTTTAAGTTTGTTTTAATTTCAGACAAATCCTTTTCAGTTCTACTGCGTTTACTTGTTTGTTGTTTTTTTTTTTTTAGGGTCTGAAAAACTAAATGATAAACTTGAAGTTCAGTTTATTGGTGGTGGTGTAGCCGTTTTACAACAATTTTTTTTTTGTTTAAGAAATGGACAGAATCAGTGGGTTATCTGATGAATTGCTGGTTAAGGTATTACGCTTTCTTCCGACAAAAGAAGTTGTATCGACTAGCATTTTGTCTAAACGATGGGAGTTTCTTTGGTTGTGGGTGCCTAAACTCAATTTTGTGATGAATCATTACGAATCAGATCTTCCTATTCAGGATTTTATCACCAAGAATCTGCTACTACTTAAAGCTCAGGTTATAGAGAGCTTTCATCTTCAATGTTTTAATTCATCATTTAAACCTGAGGATATTAAGCATTGGGTTGAAACTACGATTTCTCGCCGCGTTCGTGAGCTGATTATCAACTATTGTAACTTGTTTTGGCTTGACAAACCTGTTGTGTTATTAAAATTACCAAGCAGCCTGTATACTTGCACGTCGCTCGTGACTTTGAAACTTATAGGCGATACCATTATTGTTGATGTTCCTCGAACGGTTTGTCTCCCTTCTTTGAAAACTCTGAAGCTTGATTCTGTGGCATACTCAAGCGAAGATTCTCTTCGACTGCTTCTATCGTATTGTCCTGTTCTTGAAGATTTGACTATTAATCGAGATAGGCATGACAATGTGAAAACTTTGGTTATTATTGTTCCGTCTTTGCTGAGACTAAATTTACCGATAGATGGGGCTTATTCTTGTGATGGCTATGTGATAGTTACTCCTTCTTTGAAGTATTTCAAAGTTCCTGGCCTTTATGAAGAAGATTTCTCCTATTTGATTATGCATATGCCTAAGGTGGAAGAAGCAGATCTCAGTGTTGAGCAAGACGTTGAGAGGCTTTTCGAATCAATCACATCTGTCAAACGCCTTTCCTTATCCGTACTACTCGACATTGAAGACGAGGTATTTCCTATTAGTCTATTACAATCACTTAAAACGTTAAATTGTTTCTTTTTTGTTGAGACTGAATCCTTTTTTGTTTTTTGTGTGCAGTCTATGTATCATAATGGTATTTACTTCAATCAGCTTGAACATCTGAAGCTACATATATACCGCGATAACTGGTCGAAATTACTTGTTCGGTTGCTCGAAGATTCTCCTAAACTACGAGTCCTCAAGCTTGTTGTCGATGTAAGGTTTTTCATTGACAATCTAAAAAGCATTCTATAGTGTAGTCTTATTAATTATCTCTTTTTTTTTAAAAAAAATAATCTCAGGATGATCCATCCTTTGATGAGGAGTATGAACATGCTAGCTGGAAATATAATGATGAGAGCTCTGTTCCTAAATGTTTGTTGGACAGTCTTGAAATTTTCGAGTTTGCTGGGTACACGAGAAGACCAGAAGAGAGAGATTTCGTGAGTTATATCTTGAAGCATGCTTGTCATTTGAAGTCCTCATCAATATCACACTTATCATGTTATGTTCGAGAGTAGAAACTTCGAAAATGATCAAGGAGTTGTTGTATCGATCTCTGGATTTTAGGCTTGTTTTTGTTGTCCAAGAACGAACTAGGTATCTATTTGACTGTAATGTGGAACTTGCTTTCTAATGAAATATGTACCTGATAATCTTCTCTCTTTGATGACTCCATCTTTCCTTAATCAACCTTGAAGTATGTATATGTTTGGTGTTTGAAGTTTTAGATCAGTTGCTATTTGAAGAGTCCAATAGAGGTCAAGCTGCTTTATATGAATCTTAAAAGAGAAAGGAGAATGGTTTAGCAAGTAAGAGATAAATATTGAAGAATAGAAGTAGAATTGTTTTTTTGATATTATTGACAAAAAAGGTAATTAAGTAATAACCTCTCATCTTAATCATCCTAATGAAAGTATTTGCTATTTTTCGTGAGAGATTAGAAAAATAGATAATTTTGACTAAATTAAGGAGGTTTATAAGAAAGGACCAGTTAATTGTTAGCATATTTTTTGTTTTGTTTCAGAATTGAGACTTTGGGAGGAAGAAGAAAGAAATCTGTTTTCTGAAGGTGGAGGTGCCAAGGGAATCTCAATTCTTGTTCCTCCTCCTCCTCCTCTTCTTCTTCTTCCTCATTAGTTGTTTATGTTTTTATATATAATCTAGGTTTTGTGAGTCCAACTCTATCTTTCTCTCTCTTGATTTCAACAACTTGGTTTCAAGTTCATAAACAAGAGAGAGAAAGTATTGTTTATTGTCTTCAAGAGTTGGTTATGTTATCCCTTAATTCCAACAAAAATAGTACTTTCTAAATGCTTCTATACTTACTCATCACTTGTCTCTCTTTCTTCTTCTTTGCCAAATCTTTATCCCTTCCTCCATGGACATCTAAAACCAAAACTTTGCTCTCCTTCTACTTCTCCAAGAATTTATTTACGAACATTCTACACCCGACCAAACCCAATCTAGCCTCTCCGGTTCTCGGCCAAATGTCGATCCTTGACCTCCCTGACCTTCCTCTCGACTGCATTCTCGACAATCTTTCACCCTCTGGACTATGTAGCATGGCTAGGGTCTGTAGCTCGTTAAGAGAGAGATGTGTAAGTGATCATTTATGGGAGAAACACTTGAAGACCAAATGGGGAAAAATCCTTGGACCTTCTGCTCACAAAGAGTGGCAATGCTATCTCTCTTCTCCATATCATCTTGATTCCCCTCATCACCAAACTAGTCATCATGGATTAACCAAAATCATATCTCTTATTCGATCTCTTTCATCGATTTTAGGAGATGATAATCATAGAAGGAGATATCCATCTTCTATTCCTCTTGATTCTACCATGAGCTTCTACCTCTCCCTTGAAACAGGTCGCTTTTGGTTTCCAGCTCAAGTTTACAACCGTGAGGTAATCATCAATTTCATAAACATAGTTACTCTATTTTATGTTTTATGGGTTTGACTAATGTAATGAGGGATTTTTGGTGTAAGAGCAGAATGGACATATAGGGTTCATGTTGTCATGCTATGATGCTGAGCTCAGCTATGACACTCACACTAATACTTTTCAAGCTAGGTATAAAATATTTCATTTCCACATTCAACACAATCTTTTGCTTATTTTTCATCGAAAGTTATAAACTAGACTCTATTGAGGAATTTAGGTATCCACCACATGGTAGAAGAGCAATTGCCATTGAAAAGGATGTGACATGGGAGAGGATAAGAGCAGCTCCTGTTGATGCATCACCTCATCATCTCTATGTGTCAGATTCTCTAAACGAATTAAAACCTGGAGATCACATAGAGATCCAGTGGAGAAGGAACAAAGAGTTTCCTTATGGTAATTATAATCTATAATGCTTGTGGTTTGGACTGGACATAATATGATTCTAAAACAAGCTTGTGTGCTGTTGTTGTGTAGGATGGTGGTATAGTGTTGTTGGCCACTTGGAATCTTGTGATGGCAATCTTAACCATTGTCAATGCCATATTAGCGGTCAGTCCTCATCTTTATATTCCTTTGGTTTAGAAATGGAGTCTTGGTTGGCTGTTTTAAAATTGGATGTTACATTCCAATAAAGTTAGTTGAATAGGGTGAAGAGACAATGATTCTTTATCTCCTAAAAATCTTTTTTTCCTCATTTTGTTGCCTTGGGAGTCACCACAAAATGTAGAAATCAATTAAAAAATGTAAGGGTTTGGAATTTCTTCTTCACACTTGCATCAGGATTCAACTTAACCCCCTAATCATATGGCATTAACTTTTCTCTGTTAATGTTGTGTCCAAAGGATTTATGCATTCACATATTGTACTAAATGGTAAGTGTTGATGAATGGTGAAAACAGAGATGATGGTGTTGGAATTTAACCAGTACACAGTCGGATCAAGGTGGAGAAAAACGATGATTAACAGGAGAGATCATAGAGAGAAAGGTAACGAGGAAGACGGGTTCTATGGAGGAATTCGAAAGCTAAATTGTAAAGAAGATATTGAGATGTGGAAGCGTCTTTGGCCATCCTCCATCTTGGAGTAGGATGTTAATTTTAGAAGTGTTTTCTCTTGATCCAATGTATAATTGATCGTTAAATATTTATTGATAAAATAGTAAAAATATACATGAAATTATTGCGTCACTTGAAAATGAGGTTGCTCGATTTGAGAAGAAATATGGTGTTGTATAGGAAAAAATTAATACAATTGATTAGAGATATTCAGGTTTTAATATTGTTAAACACGTTCTATAATATTTAAAATACGCTCTTGTGTGAGTGTGTGTGTGGGTTCATCTAAAAAGAAGAGGGAACCCTCGAGAAGAGAGGACAATAGAACTTTGTTATTCAAGAACATGTTTTTCAACATTAGATCCATTTCGCACACTATCATGCTTACTAAAATAACTAGTGTCATCATCAAAATGATCAGATTGAACCATACTCTCAAATTTAGGATTTTCATTAACATTTACTCTTTGTCACAAATTTATCTAAAGCACAATTAGTGATTAAATAATCATTTTTTTTTTCTTTTCTTTTATTTCTATCATAACATTGAGCCGAATGATATGTAAATATAACTAAATGTCAAGTTAAAGATGATTATTTGAACCTATAAAAGAGCAAAGTAAATCAAAAGGAGATTATTAGATAAAATTAGAGTTGTTTTTTTGTTTAGTTGTTTAAATAAAAGTTGTATTTATGGTTATGGAAATACCATGGAATAGCACTAAAACAAGTTTTCTGCATAATATAAATACACACTCCACAAATTTTCAAAATTACCATTAGTGAGTTTACACAATAACTATTTTATTTTTATCTAATTATTTAAAATAATAAAATTAATTATAATTGAAAATCACGATTATAATATGATCGCGTAAAACGTCAATCAAATGCTTATATTAGTCTTATTAATATTAGATTTGTGCTATTTTTTGGAACCTTAGAAATCATGTGCTAAATTTGATAACAAAACTTGTTTTTTATTTTATTTATTTTAACAACAATTTTATTAGATTAGCTTATAAAAACTAATTCAGGGAATATTGTATAACAAAACTCGCTTAATTTGTGAGAATTGTATCAACACAATTTTTTCCAGCAAAATAATTTATCTAGATAAAATATTAATAAAACAATATACAATACAAAATAAAATACAAAACTGAAATTGAGAGTTAGTTTTGCTCTAATTCGGGGCTTCTTCTTGTAATGGCAACAACGGCGTACGGCCAACCGTCGCTGCCACAGATGCATAGTCTCTTCTCAAAGCTCAGACCTTTCCTTTCTCTCTCCTCGCCGTCTTTTACAGCCCCGTTCCGGCGGCGAAGGAGTTTCTCGTTTAGTGCTCTTCCAACGACGAAAGCTATTGAGGCGGCGTTGATGAAGGAGAAATGGTTGGATTCTCTCTCTCTCACCTCACTAGACGAAGATACGACTTCGGAGAATGCTGAGTCAAGCTGCATCATTGGGGTTGACCCTGATTTGTCTGGTGCGTTGGCTGTTTTGAAATTTGACCACTTGGGTTCTTCTTCTTCTGCTCAGGTCAGTCACTAGAATGGTGAAAGTTTGGGTTTTTAGGGTTTTTGTCCAAAGTATCTTTCTTTACAAGGTTATGTGAATCATTTTGAATAGAATCAGAGTTATTACCAAAGTTGATGATGTTTTGAACATTTGTTCTTATGCTCAGGTCAGTTAGGGTTTCAGGGTTTTGTCAGTTGATTTGTTGATGGAATTTATCTATCATTACAATGTTCGTTTGTAATTTGTGAGAAGAATCGAGAATGTGAAGGAATCTGTGAATCGTTTCTGTTGCTTTGTTTGGTTCAATTTGAAGTAGTTTTATGATATGCAAGAACTCATGTGAATCATTTTGAACAGAATCTGAGTTATTACGGAAGTTGATTGTGTTCTTTGTTGTTTGGTTCAATCTGGAGTAGGTTTATGATACACCTCACATCCCAGTTTTAGTTGGGAAAAGAGTAAGAAAACGTTTGGATGCAAAGTCAATTGTTCAATTGATTCAGAGTTTAGATGTTCCTTCTGGTAAGAATATATGTTTTTACATTGTCTCTTTGTTGTTGTGAATTCTTTGGGTGAGATTTAGAAGCAATTTTACATCTTTTGTGTTCGATAATGTAGGAAGCAGAGTATATATAGAACAATCGAATCCGTTTCCAAAAGATGGAAAACAGGTTTATGCTACAACAACACACATCATTTTTCTTCAGTTATGGTTTGTTCGTTAAAACTGAAATGTTTGTGTTTGTGTTTGTTTTTTAGGGTTGGTATAGTGGAGGATTTGGATATGGATTATGGATAGGAACACTTGTTGCTTCAGGCTTTTGTGTTATTCCAGTCTCTGCATCTTTATGGAAGAGGCATTTTCAACTTGCTAGTGGGAGTTGCACGAAGGTGATTTGTTTGATCTTTTACTGTCAAACTTCTGTGAGTTAAAAACAAATCTCTCAAATGCTGACAAAGTTTTTATTTTTCGTTACAGGACGATAGTAGACGAGTTGCAGCGGAGTTGTTTCCATCGCTTAGTTCGCAACTTAAGAGGAAAAAGGATCATGGTCGAGCTGAAGCACTGCTCATTGCGGCGTATGGTGAAGCCATTAAAACAGAGAAGTTGTTGATCCAGCCAACGGAATTGGTTTCTCAGGTTAACTACTTAGAAAACCAGTTAGTGGAGATTAAATAGTGTATTAGTTTTCTTGGCTCAACTCATTAATTAAACAATTACAATTCTGAGTCTACTCCTAACTCTACTAATTGTATTTTTCCTAAACCAGTTAGATAAAGTTTCTTTAACTTGCTCTTCTTTTGCTTGTTAAGACCTCCATTTCCTTCATGCTTCCTTTTCTGAAAGATGTTGAAATGAACTAAAACCTTAGACCAAAGAGAGTGTACAACATCCACAAACGTGATCTATAGATAATCAATATTGCCAAGATTCATTGGACATACTTTAAAAAGTAACGAGGGAGTCTCCTCACTCTGTTGATTAGAAGCTGCCTTAAAGCATATAAGAAAAATGTACGGATTGGTCGGTAGGGTTAAGACAGGCATGCCTGTTCTTCATTTCCTTCTCTTTATCTTTGCTTCGATGTCTATGGGAATGCTTCTCTTTCTTATCTTCCTTATCTCTTCGTTTCTATATCTCTTTGTGCGTTTTTGTGCTTTTTTGTGCCTTTTCTATAGGAACTCCCTTCATTAGTTGGGATTAAATATGAATATGAGGGAGTATAAAATTTATATTTCATTAATGAAAAGGTAGTTGAAAATAAAATGTGATCAGTTTTGCGGATTTTAAAACTCATTAAATTCGTTTTTGTTATAATATTTGTGAATTTATTTGGTGTGAAATACTGTAGTAATTATTTTTGAATTTTGTAATATTTTATATCACAACACGTTTTTGTTTTCAGTTTTCACAATTAATTATATATTCAAGGATAATTTTGTCTATTTTGTTTAATAGACAAAAGACACCCGTTTTGTCATTGAAAAATATAGGAAAATCTCCTTCGCTTTCTGAGTTTAACAGCTAAAATGAAATGTTATTTGGACCCATAACATCGTCATCATGTCTGCCGACCATAATGGTCTATGCCACAACATATTAACTCTAGTTTGAGAGTAATGCAAGACTCTACCAAGGAAGTTTCTCTACTGCCAACGTCCGCTTCATGAAACTCGACAAAGAAATCTGAAATATAATCAACCCCAATTCAAATATCCCCACTCTTTGCTATTCTAATATGTTATCAGTAATAAGGTTTTTTTTTTTTGTTTTTTGAAAATTTCTGCGGAAAACACTGTCATTCCTTTTATAGATCTTAACTAGATTTTAACCCGCGGTACACCGCGGGATGATTTAATTTTAAAATTAGTATTAAAAATACTAGGACTCAGGACCCCCGCGATGTCGCGGAGGAATATATTTCAAAAATCATTTAAAAAAATATCAAACAAAAAAATCATAATGAATTGTAATAATTTTGAATTTTTTTAATAACAAATCAATATATATTCTACAAAAATTATGATAAAGAAAACCCTCACAAGCATTTATTAAGTATATTAATATTAGAAAAACAATAATTTGTAACTAAAAAACTATTCCCAAGTGCAAAAAGCATAAACTAGTAAACCAAATATTACAATGGTTTGATAAATAAGCCTAAACGTTCAACGTAAAATAAACCAAATGCTATTGTGTTAAATTAAACGGTAACAACAATTCATTTAAATATATTTTAGTATTTAAATATTTTTTTAAAAATATGACGAACTTATCCGAGAAACGAAACCGTAGATATCAAATATTCCAAAAACTGCAACGGTTCGTCAATTATACCAAATGTTGCAATAGTTCATCAAATATACTAAAGATAACAATGGTTCGTAACACAAAACCAAAAGTTGCAATAATTCGTCAAATAATCCAAATGTTGAAACAGTTCAATTAAATAGTTACAATCTCATTTAAATACATTTTAGTAATTAAAAATTAAGAATTAAAATAATAATTTATGAAAGTTACACCGAGAGACGCGGCGGTAGATAATTAAATGTTATAGCTATTTATAAAATAAACCAAAAATTGTAATTGTTCGTGAAATAAACTAAATATATAAACCAAAGGTTGCAATTGTTCGTAAAATAAACTAAATATTGCAATGATTCGAATAAGCGGTTTCAACTGTTTATGAAGAGTTACAATAAAAAAACGCAACCGTAGAAAACATTTAGAATGCAATTTATAAAAAAAAAACATAACCGTAAAATATATATTTAAATTAATAAAAACATTAACGAAAAGTTGCGATAAAAAGACGCAACCGTTCAGATGTGCAAATGGTATTTATTAGATTGCTATTATATATAGATTTTGTAAATTGTATCTCCTTATAATATATTTATTTATATTATAGTTTACAATTGTTATTAAGTAACGGTATACCACGAGTCCACGAGACAATTATTAATAAACTGAGGATTTAACCCGTATTAAAGCGGTATATAAATATTGATTCAAATTCGTCCGCCATATAAATTCTTTCCGAAATATAACCCGTTCCGTAATTTCTTAACCCGTCATGTGATTTGTTTTTTATTTTAAAATTTAATGATTATTTATTATATATAAAAGTTTACAAATCATATCATTCTCTAAGACATTTATATTTTAATAAACTAAAGATTTAATATGTATTAAAGCGGCATGTTAATGATATTTTATAATTTTATAAATATTGTTATTAAGTAATATTATACCACGGGACAATTTTTGGTTTTATACAATCTTTTCTAAATGAGACTGATTTAATATGTCTAATATTTGTGGTATTACAAAAAAAAAAAAGGGATTTAATCTGTATTGAAGCGGCGGATTAATGATATTTTAATCTTTTTATTATTGTTGATTCAAAAACTCGTCCCGCCAAACCCGTCCGGCCAAAAAACTCATTTATTTTATTAATGTTCTTATTTATGATATGATTCTGAATCATTGTCTAAATATTTTAATCGATGTAGAACGTTGAACACACATTTTCGTCAATTGGATAATATATGTCCATTTTTAAAATTTCGAATCATAGTATATGCAGAAAAAAAAAATTGATTTTTTTTTACTTTATGTACTATATGATGATTCAAAATAGTTAAAAACAAATCAAACAAAGATGATAGGAGAATCATAATTATAAATCTTAATCAAATCTACTAATATCTAAATTATTAAATATGGAATATCCGGTGTATGAGTTGGGTTAAATATAACCCGACCCAACAAATTTTTTTGTGAAGAATTTTTTGAAACGGGTCGGATATCCGATTAACCCAGAAACATTTTTACCCACCCGTCACCAAAGTGTTGCGAAAATACTAGTATAGATAAATCTTGCGTTTAATAAAACTAACATTTTTTACCAAAAAAAAAAATCACAGTCACACTCCCATGTGGTGGCATAGTTATAGGACCTTGAGTTTTCCACTAATTACAGGTTTGAAAATAAAACTAAAACTAGGATATGACCCGCGGGTTAATTATTTGATTTTTTTATCTTTTATAAGCTGATAAATTTGTTGTGTATAATATTTTTTGTTGTACACCGCGGTCACATGCGTTGTATCTAAAAAATAAAAATTTGTATTTGTATTTGTTTTGTTTATTATTTAAGATTGAATAATTGTATTTTGATTTGTTAATTCTAAGATTTCACCCATAGTATATTGTCCCGTATTAATATCGACCCAAAACCGTCGCACCATATAATCCCGTCCTGTGAAATTAAACATCATTTTGTTATTTTTTAATAACACCTTTATTTTAAAGACATATAATTCGAGTCAATTTAAAAGTTAGCTTTCAAATCGTTTCTATAATATATATATTTTTAAATTAGTGTGTGTTTTTTTACCAACCCGTAAAAATAATTTATAATTATATCTTAGAATACTAAATAATTTTATTTTGATTTGTTAATTTTAGGATTTCACATGTGGTATACTGTCCCGTTTTAGATAATTGTATAAATTACGGAAATATCCGAATGACTCAATTTCGGATCAAAATAAAAAAAAAAGACCTGATTAAATGCGCAATTTATTCTTCAAAAATGTTAATATAGATTACACACATACTTTTTTTCTTCATTGATTGAGTAATATATGTCCATTTTAAAAAAATTGAATCATAACATATGCAGAAAAAAAACTAAAATTTATTAACTATATATATTTTATAATAATTCAAAATAATATAAATATAAGATCAAATAAAAATGAAATGAGAATCATATATTTATGTTTAAATTAGGTAGAGAGGTTTTAGGAAATTAGCTCAAATTTGTTATATTAGCATTAAATCATCATATTTGATAAAATATATATATATATATATATATATATATATATTAGATTTCATTAATTAATTTCGTTTTAAAATTTTGCTAAAACTTAAGGAAAGATCCGATTGAAGATTTTCGGGTCAAAATCAGAAAAAACCCCGACCCGATTAAAGGAGCAAAAATATACTTCAAAAATGTTAAGTAGATATATGAATCATATATATAAAAGTAAAGTTTCATTCTCTCTCTTTATTGGACCAATATAAAATTATATTAAAGACCATTACATATTTTATTTAAGGTTTGTTGTTTAAATTTTTTTCCTAAAATTATTTCTTTCTTATCTCAAACAATTTTTTGTAATATTTATCATTACATTTAGTGTTTTTTGATGATCCAATGGATAATTATATAAAAATTATTATAATATTTTTATTCAAAGTTTTTGTGTAACACTCCGGTTTGAGAAATATGGTGGTGCATGCGGAGAGGTTTAAAAGGATTGATTTGGCCACCTATGTCACCAAAATGCACTTATCTTTTCGGTCAACTATCCTGAGAGAACTCCACAGCTAAGAGTGCTTGAGCTGGAGCAATTTCAAGATAGTGACATTCCGGGAAGTGATTATCGGAACTGTGTGAGTGAGGACAAAACATAGGGAAAGATCATGTAGTGATTTTTAGGGTCGATAAACAAGTATTTAAAGCCTCCCGATCTTAGCGGACCGACCGTCGGACAGGCGTAGAGCCCACGGGCCCGAGAGAAGACGTGGGTGATCACTGGTAGGGGCGGTCAAAACGTTACAGTTTGATTTAAAGATTTTTTTCTAAAACAAAATCAATTTACTTAAAATAATTTGATAATCCAACATAGCAATGTAAATCCTACAAAGATGAAATCATTATAGTCAAAACTAGCACTGTAATTTAAATTAAGTGGAATAAAAAAAATAGAAGTATTCTTGGGAATTATTTTTAACGGTTTAGATTGTAGTTCATAAGATATTATAAGAAAACAAATTTAGTTTGTCAGTTACAA